TAGCAATTCCAGTAAATTCACATAACAGATCACACAATCAAGCAAAACACTTGCAAAGCTTAAGTATTCAGTCGGTTCAATTTGAGGGGTATTTACTTGGCAAAACCTTTTTTATTTTTATTTCTTGTTCTGTAGCGATCTCGTAATCTCATTAGAAAGATGAAATACAGACAAAAAATGCTAAGGCCACATTACCATTAAGTGCCAAAACGTGTGATCCAGACAGTGCCATAGAAGGGGTGAATGCTACAGAAGATTAATACGATTATCTTTAGGTATGTCTTTTAAAGAATACAGATGTAGTGCAGTGGTTCTCAAAGTGCGGCATCAGCATCGCCTGGGGATTTGTTAGAAATGCAAATTCTTGAGCCCCATCTTCAACCTACTGAGTCAGAACCTGTGGGGATGGGGCCCAACGACCCGTGTGGGAGCAAGCCTTCCAGGTGATTCCGGGAACCACGAGTGTCCTGGATGCTGGGTTGGTGGCCGTGTTGCGGTATTGTGGTGGGTGGTACTCAGCTAAGTTCCTCCCCAGGAGTTGCCATCATCAGAAGAAAGCCCCCTTGCCCAAGGTCTGTCTCCTTCCCAGGAGCCTGCATCCAGTGACAGCAGTGTGGAGGAGGTCATGAGGCCTGGCCCCCTTGCTTCAAGGCAAGACGACTCTGAAGGGTTATCCTAGCTTCTGGCTCCCTGTGGGACCTGCTGAGGCCTTTGCTGCACTGCCTTGGGTTCAATTTCTCTTTAGTGAAGCTTCTCTATAAACCATCAGCTAAACCTTCAAGGCTGGTGCTCAATACAAGATGGCACTCCTAGTCAAGACTTCAGAATGATGGCCAGGGAAGAACTAGCAGGAATATATCCAGGGAGGTGACCTCAGGATATTTACATTTGTAACTATTTTTAACTGTCCTTCTATTTCTGTATAAAGGTTCATGTTGCCTGGATCATCATTGACGTAGATAAAATCCTTGAAGAGCTAACTCAAAGCCTACCTTTTCTACAAGACTTCCCTTGGGTAGACTGGCTTATCCTCATCTCCCACTTTCGTAAACTTTTAGGACTGTTAATGGAATGTAACTGCATGCCCTCTTGTATGTTCTAAATGTCTTTATATGCAAATATTGTTCTGATAATTAGGTCTTAAATGGCTAGGGCAATGGTGCTCAAACTGCATATGCATAAAACCACTTAGAAGGCTTGCCGAAGCACAGATTGCTGGGCCCCACTCCCGGGGTTCCTGATTCAGAAGGTTTGAAGAGGAGTCTGAGGATATACATCTCCAACGAGTCCCCAAGTTACCAGTTGGGGACACTGCCGGTCAGGGGGCCACACTTTTCAACCACTGAACACACAGTGTTCACATCACAGTGATTTCTACTTTTTGTATAATGACACGGTATACGGAGTCATGCACACTTCTCTCTCTCCCCCTCTCCCATTCTCTTTTAGCCAAACCTGCCGCCACTACTCTAATCTAGCTCTTCACCCCACGTCTTCTTTTCTCTTGGAATGCCCTCTGTTTACTTTCTAGTGAATTCTTTCTCATATTACAATTTCCAATTTAAGTGTTACCTATGAGAAGCTTTTCCAGATCTCTTAGTTGTAAGTAATGCTGTCTAGACCTGTGACTTTGTATATTCTCCCATTCTAATAATGATCGCTTTCTCCTGGAATTGCTGGTGTGCATGGGCGTTTTGCTGACTACACCATGATCTCTTCAAAGGCAGAAGCCATACTTTAGTCTTCTCTGCAGTGTCAGCACCGGCATGCGTGCTCCGAACTATTTACTAAAGAACTGAGAAAATTGACTTCATATCTGGAGACCTGTCGAACTCTCCTATCAACAGTTCTCCCCAACTTTAGGCTATCTCATTTCTGATTCAGGCCATCCATAGTTACCAGTTTAATTTTCCTAAAACTCCACATTGCATCCCCTTCTACTCCAAAATCATACTGACTCCGAAGAGTCTAAGATCAGGCTCTTTGTAATCTGGCTTTTACTGATGGCTCCAATATTATCTCCTCTTATTCTCTGTTCCAGCCAAGATATGATACTCATGTCCACTGAACACATCACATATCCGAATGGCAGAAATTTGTAAAGCTCTGCTCTTTTTTTCCTCCCCAAAGACATATTTAAAATTCCTCCACTCTGCTTAGCTCTCACAGCATTTATTATTTACAACTCTTATTCAGCACTTAATATCAGCTCTTAAAATGCTCTTATTTATGTATATTTCAATTTCATTTACCCATCCAGTTGTAAGTGCTCTGCTTTCCTAGTCCCAATTTTATACTACTTTTTTATCCCACTGTCTACAACAGACAGGCTTTAATGTTTAGTTACCATCACTGTAAAGGAGAAGCCTAATAAATTCTTCTAAAAAGAGCCAGTGGCCTCTACACTCTTTATGTCATCAAGTAAAACAGACCCCAATGATTCAAAAGAGAGTAGAATGGCACTTAAATATCCCTTATGACCTGCATGCTCTGGCTCAGAAACCCAAAGACTGTCTCAAACAGAAACACACACACACGTGTCTGTATCGCTCAGGTGTAGATTTCAGAAGGGATCACAATGTTATCTCTATCCAGACTGCAATCTTTCCGAGCTTGACAGAGAAAGAAACTCCCAGAAAGCAACAGCCGTGTAGTGGGCAATGGTTATAGGTGGCACTGTACCATACTGTGGAAAGTACATCTGACATCAGTAAAATGTAGTGGGAAAGGATGGAGACTAGAAGAGTCCTTTAAAAAATGACCTAGACCACATTCCAACCAGAAAGACAGCAAGGATCCCATCTTAGAATAGCAGGACAGCTTAATATGAATGCCAGCTCGACCGGAAACTGAGTTGTGAGTGAGGTTTAGCCCCTCGTCTTCCAGTTTTACATACAACAGCTCCAAGTAGCTAGCACAGCCAAGGAAAAAATCACATGCCCATCTATGACATATGGTAGACAATGAGCATTGATAGATTTCTCAAGGGTAACTCAAAAACTTAACACACTGAATATGGAAAAATACTGCAGAAAACTGGAAAGAGAACAAACATTATTCTAAAAATCAGGTAAAGATCCATGTAGCTGAAAGTAATATACTGCACTAACAAGAAGAAAATTTAAATAGGGTGTGAAATCCTTCATAATATGCAAAATGTATGGACTCCAAAAAATAAGAGTTTAATAAGAATATGGATTCTAAGTAGTAAATCATATTGACAGAGATAGGCAATGAATGAGGAGTAAATTGAGTTAAAGTTGAGAGTTCAATGTTGATTCATTTTTGAGTTCAAAAATAAGAGAAATGTATTTTAGAGGGTTTTTAAAAATTTAAACATATCTCTAGGAGCATTAGTAACAAGATGCCTACATTCTAAATCACTAACAAAGTGGGCAAAAAGGTGTAAGGCTAAAGAAAAACAAAAGAATACAAAAAACAAGAAAACATTTTAAAAACAATAGTATAAAATGAGATAGTAGAAGACCAAACATATCATTTATTACACAAGAGATGTGAACATATTCAATATGGTTACTGAAAGATTAAAGTCCAAGATAGGGTTAAAACTTGAAATTCCGCCTATGCTCTAGGACAAAGTTGGCACATCTGAGATTCTATCTTTCTTCTCTTTGGCACTGAAGCTTCTTTCTGCTACATCGTGCTGTTAGTTGAATACGCTAATGAAGTTTTTACATTTACATTAAGTCCACTCTATCTATACATGTAAATAGTATGTGCTAATTAAACAGTATAACCCATTTCCTATGTCTTTGAGGGAGTAAATAGGTTTCTTTAAGATATAAACATCATGTACACTGATGTACACTGATGTACGAGTGTGTATATCTTGAAGTGTGTATCTCTTCATATACGTGAAGATATATGTATATAATGGAGACATGTGTATAAAATATATACTAAAATTTAATTTTTGTAATAATCCTTTGGGTGTACCTCTAGTATTCTATTAGCAAAGGCATTAACATTACAATATGCTTTAAATGATTAAAGTGCAAAACCATTTCCAACAACTCTTTTATCCCTTTTTGTTCACAAATTGTGTTCCCTTGCCTATTGAATACATATCTGTATTATCCATATTTAATATGTATAATCCCTAAAGCATCCATATTGACCCATATATGATCAATTTAAAGAGTGGCTATTACACAGTTATCCTTTAAAGCAATGATTCAGAGAACATGACTCTAAATTCATGGTTCTGGGCCTTTATTCATAATAGAACAATAACCAAAAGGAAGCATGTGTATTTATGTAGTTACTTCAATTTATCTGATTCCAAAAAGTTTTTGTAGAGCCTGATTTGTAGATGTAAACTTTTTGTAATTCAACATGAATAAGGGCTTCTGGAGCTTAATTTAGGAAACAAGAAAGAGGTACTTAAATCTCATAAACATGCTTAACCACTGACAGCCCCGGATTTAGCAGAAAAACAAAGCCACTGCCTTCTTCTAATTTATAAGCATGGTACTGCTGAGGCTGATGGCAGTTACTCATCATTTAGAAATCCAATCTGATTTTATATTTTTATTTGAAGATTTTAAGAAAAAAAAAAAAAAGATCCTGTAACCCAATCATGCCATAATCCAGGTGACATCTGTACTAGGCAGAATCCTGTTGTTATTCTCCTGTCTAGCTGCTATTGCTGAGAATGACAAAGTAGGGAAATTACATTTTCCCATTATTATTTCCAGACATTTTCTGGCAATGGTTTGTTGACTCTAATAAACCTTCAGACAAAGCTGTCAGCAAAGGAAATGGCAAAAGGAGAGCAAGGAAAAGCCTCTTCAACAACAAATGCATCTAAAACCTCAGTACCAGTCTGTAGAGTTTCTGATAACATTTAACGTGAGTGCTTCAATATTTATTCTAATGTTGTATTTGAATTCCAAGGAAAAAATGTATTCCATCAAGTCATATTACCAATGATTCTGATGAATACAAACATTATGAAATTAAAGAAGGAGATCTCTTACCTGCTATAGTGTTAAGGAACATCAAATATTCGAAGTTTGAAATTTCCCTTCTTTGCCAACGCTGAGTCATGTTGGAAGATTTATAAAGCTGCCGAGGAGTGGCCAGTGATATCCTCCTAGCAATTAAGCAAACGGTAACAAATGTAGTCTCTTTTAACTCCTGACTTTTATTTTTTTTTTTTTTAAGATTTTATTTATTTGACAGAGAGAGACACAGCGAGAGAGGGAACACAAGCAGGGGGAGTGGGAGAGGGAGAAGCAGGCTTCCCGCGGAGCAGGGAGCCTGATGCGGGGCTCGATCCCAGGACTCTGGGATCATGACCTGAGCCGAAGGCAGACACTTAACGACTGAGCCACCCAGGTGCCCCTACTGACTTTTAAAAATCAGTATTAACTAATACATTGGTTTAATATCAATCCATTTAAAGTAACTTATGGTTTATCCTTAGGGAAATTTAAAATACGTTTTAATTGTAGATATTAGCAATCTTCGAAAATTCTACTATAGAAAAGATACATTAGTGACTCAGGATAAACCAGTATGAACACACCTATTTGTATAATATGGCTGCAAATGGGTATTTTACAAGTCAACAAGAACAATACAGATAAAACTACACTCAAGGTAAGTAAAGTAGCTTTAAAACAATAGAGCAAATCTTTTCCATGCCAATAAGCTAAGTGGGTATAGGTAGTCAGGTACCATCTTGCAAGCATTTGACTTAAACTTCATGTAATAATGGCGGCCACTGACCCCTCCACCCCTGCCCCCACACAGAGTGTGCGTCTGTGTACAGCTCTACCCACACCACACATAGCCCTGTCACGATTTAAAAAAACAAGCTGGGAACTTTGAAAACATATGAATTCAGAAGAAGGGACACGGGAATAGCTGAAGGGAATAAAATCAGGACAATTTGTATACATGATGAACCTTTTGAGGTTCATTGTGTTCATCTAAGAAATAATGGAAGTGAGCTGTATTTTAAAAGTATGATAAGGCTACTGAGTTTCTGGAATGATCATCACCTAAGACAAAGGTTCCTAAACTTTTTCAATACATGCTACCCTTAGTGTGTCAGGAATTTTTCATGTCGTCCCTAGGCCAAAAGAAATACCTAACAGTTCTGTTTAAGTAGTTAGAGCTAAATAACACGTAAGTCTGTTCAAAAATACTCCTAAATTGGAAGAAAAACAGTATTTTTACTTCATTCTTAAATAACAACAATTACTTACTAAAGGGATGTGTGCACCTGCTGGACACGGCCGAGCTCCTTAAGCCTCGGGAGTCACATCTGACCCCACCACCTACATCTGTTCCACACTGAGTTTCATGCAGCTCTTGTTTCTTATCATAGCAACTGCCCAAAACTAGTTCCACAAAGCTAAGATGTCACTGAAAAGAATGCAGTGCTATCTAATGTTGAAATGTAAAACTAACTTGAGCAATAGTTTGTGTGCTGGCAGATGTTGCTCTGTTTCCCTAAAAGGATGAATTGCCTTGCAGCAACCTGTGAGTTCACTGTGGCATCCCAGGGTTCCTTGACACTCAGTTTGGGAACTGCAAACTTAAGACTACTTCTGTTTCATTTCCAAATTTTTATATTCACATGGAATCTTAATAGGTACTGTTCTTGTACATAGAGCTAAAATATGTTTAGTTGAGGAAAAGGAGGGAGGGAGGAAGAATGGAAAGGAACTTGTTATCTCAAATTCAAATGTGAATTAAGAATTTCAGAATAATTAGGTGTAACTCAATGTTTAAAATATTGACATTTTTGAAGAACTTTCCTAGCAACATATATTTGACTCGTACTGACTCCAAAGGAAGCATATGAGTCTAATGATTCACTTCAGTGCAATGGTAAATGGTACAGATGTTTCATACTTCAATTCACGGAACACTACATCAAAAACTAATGATGTAATGTATGGTGATTAACATAACATAATAAAATAAAAAAAATGTTCTAGTACAATTCTAAAATTCAGTACATTCCTCAATTAATTTGTAATATGATTTTCACAGTGCTTCCAGATTTTGATCCATACTGGTACCAAGATTCAAAATCTTCCCAGCTATTTTATGTTATAAACTTTAGCCCTGACCCTGACATTGTCATGGCAACATGCTAGTCTCTGAATTATCAAGGAATTAAAAAAACTATGCTTAGTCCAATTTTCATTGTGCTACTATTATAATCATATGCCTGGTCTAATTTGCACAGTATTACCATTATAATCATATTTTTACTATTCTGACTAAAATTTTTACCTGCGGCATGCTCAGATAAGTCTGCTAAAAGCAATGTATATAATAAAGTTTTGAATTCCTTTGCTGACATTTTGAACCCAAACAATTTAAGAAGAAAATTGCTGATCTGGAAATAATTCTGACCATCAAAAACACTCCCAGATCAAAAATCAAACAAATCCTACTAAGTATAAATAATGGAAATCATGGGAGAAAGTTACTAAATCACTCTTAGAGTATGTGATGGTGAAGAAAAATGTGGCCATGGGAAATGAATTGAGAAAAGCCGATTATAAGCAGGTCCAGGGAAAGGATAATTTTTTCCTGTTTACTGCTCCGTCTTTCCCACTAAAACTCATTGAGAGCAGGAACCTTGTTTTACTTACTGTTATATGCTTAGCATTTAGCAGTGCTTAGTATATAGTGGGGTCTTGGTAAGTACATACTACATGACTTGAATTACTGGTCACCCTAAAAGAAAAAAATGGCTGAAGAGAGAGGTGATGATAAAAAATTAAATAATTCAATCACATGAAGAAGAAAAAATGGGAAACAGTAAATCAATAGGGCTTTCTAAAATAACCCATAACAACTCTAGATATTAGAATGAGGATGCTTGGTATGTATTTGGGCTATAGTAGGATGCTTTTAGAAGTAGGGGATAAGGTGAAGACAAAATTGCCCTCTGAGAATGAAAACTATTAACTACCATTAACAAAAGGTGACCATTTAAAATCACACAACCAGGTGTGTCCTTAGTAAGTGAAGAATCTGATTAAATCCAAAGTTAATTGATTGTACTATCTGAATAGAAAAATACATTAACCAAACACTGATAATCAACATGGAATCTAGAATATGGGCATGTTTTTGCCAGTATTTTTCCATCACTGTGCAGGGGCAAGGTGTTGTTCTTATGACCAACGTGGGAAACCGTGACAGATGACACAGGATAGAAATTGAGAGTGAGCTATGATCTTGGGCAAGATAAGTTACTTATCTAAATCAAAATTTTCTTCTCTGTAAAATGGAGTAAGAGTCACATTGTTTTAGGAATGTGGTTCTTTTAAGAATTAAGGGCAGAGAGCTCCATTTTGCCATGGGAGAACACAGGGAGAAAATGTCTATCTGTGAATCAGGAAGCAGGTTGTAGTCAGACCCCAAATTTGCTGGCATCTTGATCTTAGACTTCCTAGCCTCCAGAATCTCAAGAAATTAGTTTTTATTGTTTGTAAGCCAAAAACAATCAATCAGTCAATCAATCAAGGAAATAATGCTTATAAACCAAAACAAAGTATAGTCCCTGGCACAGGGGACGTTCTCAGTAAATGACAGCTATGGATATTAATTAATTAAAGAGGCATTCATTAGGCTATGCTGGCTTAATGGATATATTCCTTTCGTTCTAAAAGGACAAAGCAACAATCTGATTTGTAATGTGATCTCTTTGGTGGGCTTGCCCAAGGAGTGGCTTAAATGATATGTGAAGTCAATTATTCCAGCAGTATACCTGCCTTTGAATTTGGTAAAATTTTTTTTGTCTATAAATCTTATGGATTTAGCTTAGAGTAAGTTCCCTAGAGTTTGATAAACTCTGCTTAAACTGATAAAACCCAATGTCAAGAAAACAAAGCAGAGAATGAAGCCCTTGGTGATTTCTACCATGATACTCTCAGCTGGAAGGCTTCCACTGGTAGGATCCAGACATTGTCCCTTCTCTTTGACAATTCTCTAAATATAACAGGAGCTTACCTACCACATACACATGTGTTTATGGGAGCAGGTGCATAGATCTCTTTACCTACCCTCCTATGCATCTCCCTACTTATCTATGTGTGTGTGTACGTGTTGCATATATTTGCATACTATGTATGCATGTGTTTATAGTTTACAAAATGTCTTCACTTTATGATCTCAAGACATTCATAAAACATCTCTTTTCAGAGATACTGTCTCCATTTTACAGCAGATGGAAGTGTCATTCCTCTTGCCCAATGTTCTTCATTCTTTCCACTAATATGTACTGAGTTCCTACTAAGTACCAGGCTCTGTTACTGGTTTTTTTTTATTTTATTTTATTTTTATTCTTATGTTAATCCCCATACATTACATCATTAGTTCTAGATGAAGTGTTCCATGATTCATTGTTTGTGCATAACACC